TCCCCTGTGTTCCTGACAGTGTTGCCCTGGGAGGGAGGGACTGAGCCCTTCTTGTTCCTCACTAGTGAGCACAACGCAGAGCATGGAGCAGCTCCTTTTTCAGTTACTCACAGAAAGAGCCATGGGAGCACCACATACATATTCTCAGCTGTTATTATGATTTCTTAAGGTATCTTCTTTCAGTCCACAGGAATTACCCATTAAACAACACAGCTCATCAATGGGTAGTTACTTCCTCTCATTTTGACAATGAATGTTCATTGCATGTCCCATAGAGGTGAGATCAGGGGGCAAACATTCATGTACTAAGGTGTGCCATAGTCCTACAGTATTAATCACTGAGCAGGCTGAGCCACCTTGATTGCTTAGATCCAGGAGCTCAAGGCCTTCCCTGGCAGGACACCAGCACCTTTTCCAAAAAGCATTGTGGGACTGTGATTCAATGTGTAAAATATGAAAGGAAAGGTATTTCTACACTTATTAAATGTAATAGATGGGTTTCCATGCTCAAGATGTGAACTCACACATTCATGTAAATACTCTTGAGTTGAGGGAAAGTATTTTATTATACATTTTGCTCTACTGAATGCAATGCCATAACACACGTTTATACTCAAAGTTTTATGTGCTTTTAGTATTGCAATTATTACATGGAAGTGAAATGAACTGAAAAAAATCACATGCTTTGAGGTAGAAATAGTTTAAACACAGATCCAATAATCAGTTAACTTTTAATAATACAAAAAGAAGATCTGTAATTCATGAGAGACCATAGAAAATGAGTATATGAGGTGATAGCAAAATAAAGATTACAATTCTCTAGATAAGACGTGATATTTCTGTGAAACTTGGGAGGAATATGAGTAGAGAGATGTTAGAGTTCAAGATGAGAACTCACAGGTGCACGTAAACACTCTTGAGAATGCTGACAAAGAAGAAAAAGGTGTCACAGTCATAACTTTTGAATATCTACTGGGTAACAATAATGTAATTTCAATATACGTAGATGTGTAAACTAACTTGAATTCTGGAGTGATGACGATGATACTCCACATTTTATTCTTTGCTCAGAATTATTGGTTAATCTGGGGCTCTTCAGGTTCCATTTCAACTTAGTTCTGTGAGGATTGCCATTGAAATCACTGGCTCTGAATTTCCAGGAATAGGAAATATGTTCCCATTTTCTGATGTCCTTTTTAACCGCCTTTCCTTATTAGTTTCATACTTTTCATTATAAAATTTTTTATTACCTCTGCTAGACTAATTCCTAAGTATTTCATTTTATGAAGATACTGTGAATGGTATCATTTTAAAGGTTTTATCCTCAGTAGCTACATTACACCACCATTGGTATGTATTTTGTGTCCTGCTACATATTTGAAATTGCTTAATACGCCCAGAGGACTTTCGAATGAAGTTTTTCACTTTTATTTAAAGTTTAGGTCATATGAGAGTAAAATGTTTTCATCTCTTTTGCTGTAGGTCTCATTAATGTATTTATATATCCATCTACATAGGATATACATATGCATGTATATATATATATATATATATATATATATATATATATATATGTTTGTGTGTGTGGTATATGTAATTCTACTGCTTTAATAATCACTCCAATTTACTTAAATCATTATATATATATATATATATATATATATATATATATATATATGGTTTCCTGATTCCACTGGTTGAAATTTGGAACACTATTTTGAACAGGATGGGTGACATACTTGTCATGTTCCTGGTTTTAGAGCAAGATGTTTCAACATTTTTTCAGTTTGATATATTGTGGGTATATTGTGGGTAACACATTTGCATAAACATGTTTATCAGATTGAGAGGAGGCTCCTCTATTCACATTTTTAAAGGATTTTTCTTATGAATATCTGCCGGACTTTATGACCAGCTGTTGGAGATTTCTGAAAGGATTTCATGTGTCTATTGAGATGCTCATATGAATTTTGTCATTTTTCTATATATGTGATGCTTTACATTTATTCATTTGCAAATACTGAACCATCTTTGCATTAATAAGATGAAGACTCAGTCCAGATGTATGTTTTTTTAAAATGGTTTATATTCTGTGTCCCAGTCAGGTGTTGGTGCTCTTTGGATATGTTCATTAATGAGATTTCCATACAGTCTGCCTTTTTAGTTGAGGCTTGCTCGTCTGAGAAATCAAGGTAATGCTAGCTACCAGAAATATGTTTAACAATACTCAGGCCATCATGGGCACTGCAAATCCAGCATTTATGACTGGTTTTTTGTCTAGAAGTTGGATTGGTGGTATGAATGCTATGCCCAATCAGGCTTGGTACCAGCATACAACGTAATGATGGGAAGAAGGTATGTCTTTTTCTTTTGCCCAGTTCCTGTTTTGCTGTTAGAGTCTGCTATGAATGGCTGCTCCACCATGCAACACTGCTTTGAATCCAACAGAATCTATACTCAAAGCCCCAAGAACTTTAAGAAATAAAGCTTTCTTTCCTTCATTTTGAGTTTCAGGTATTTTGTTTCAGCAATGAGAGAAAAATAACCAAGACAGAATTTTGTACCAGAAGAGTGGGGTTGTTGTTTGGCTGTATCTAATCATGTGGTTCAAGAGCCTTTGCAAATGACTTGTGGGAAAATTTTGGAAAGGTTCAGAGGTGTTTCCTGAATGCATAAATCTGGAACAACTTAGGTTGTTCTATAGGGGAGATTCTGGTCAGAGCTCAAGAGATCAGAAGGCTAATAGAAATCCTTGCAGTAAAGACCAGGATTGGGAAGTTTCTACTGGAAAGAGGGACTGTATTGTTTGTTGGAATCCCACATTATGAGTGTTATGGCTTAGCAGAAAGATTCTCTGCACTTTGCTCATGTCCAGAGACTTTGCCTGAGACTGAGATTAAGGGCAACAGACTGATTAATCTGGCAAAAGAAATTCCAAGGCAGTCAAATATTGAAGTGGCTATTGTTGGGGGCCTTTAGCCAGATTTATATTGCAAATCAAGAGCAAGGAGCAAGATGATTTTAAACACTGTGAGTTTGGACTGTAAAGACAGAGCTGAGACCTCCATTGCTGAAAAGAAACAGACAAATAATAAAGATGGCTTGGGGCATCCTGGGAAGTAGAGTGTCTCTACCCTTTGCAGCCTCAAAACTGCAAAGATGAAAGACTTTCCTTGGCAGAGAAAGCCACAGACTGCTAGAATCCAGAGTAGTGGCAGAGACCACCAGAGGTTCCAAAATGGCATTGACCACAATAAATTCCAGAATGGCTGTGACATAGAAAAGCTATTCCTCACAATCTTGTTCAGAGAGTTCCGCAATCCAGGCTCTCGACCTCTACAGCTCAGAAAGAAGAAAATCTGACTACTGCTCCAAATGGCAGCGGACCTTGGCAGCATACATATGGCACTATTTTTACAATGGAAAATGCATGAGTTCTGAAGTTAAAAACGCTTCCATTCCAACTTCAGAAGGTCTGGGGAGCCAAGTAGTGTGTCTCTGAGAGGGCACTATGTAATACAGTGGAGACCCCTGAAGTTTGGAAAAGCCAGGAATATGGATCATTCAAGGGAAGCTGCGAAGATTGAACAGAGAGGGCTTAAGAGAAAAGCTATAGGAACTGGAACCCCTAGAAGTGCCATGAGGATAGAGTCATTGAAGCCCTTAGAGCCTGCAGTCAGATTGCTTCAGATGATTAGCATGGAAATCCAGGAATTAATGTTCACTCTGATGGATTTTGGACTTACTTTATTTCAAATGCTTTGCATTCCCTTCTTTGTAACTTTTGAAATGCTAATGTTTATCCTGTGCTATTGTATGTTGGAAGTGTTCAACTTTGTTTTCATTTGTACAGATTCTTGCAGCTAAGAGTTTCTCTTAAATCTCTGAAGATATTTGAGGTTTGGACTTTTCAGCAATGCTGAAGCTATTAGGACTTTGGTAACTCTTGAAGATTAACAAAATGTCTTTTGTATAAAGGATGTGTGTGAGTCTTTGTGGGGCTAGAGATTGAATCACATGGTTTATGTCAGTGGGCCCCTCAAGTCTCACACAATCACGGACATGGCCAAATCTAGTGTTTGTAATTGGTCTGTTGTCTAGCACCTGGATTGATGGCATGAGTGCTACCCACCTGCTCCACAGTGTTGAAGCCAGCATACTCTGTAATGGCTGGAAGAAGATGTGTCTCTGTTTCTTGCCTGGATGCTGCTTTTGCTCTTTGAGGCCACCATGAATGGCTGCCATGCCACACTACACTACCTTGTAGCCAGTTGAGTATGGAATCAAACCCCCAAGTACTATAAGAAATAAACCCCTCCTTCCTTCATTTTGGTTGTCAGATATTTTGTCTCAGCAACAAGAGAAAAGTAACCAAGACAAAGAGTATTTGCATGAGATATTCCCCAGTGTTCTTTATAGTCATTGGTGAATCCCATCATTTTTTGCACCAATCTTAGCAGACAGATGTTTATCACTGCCTCAATAACTTTGAATGTTATTAAGTTTTTCAGAGACATTGTATCATTTTGGCAAATTTTTTAATTTAGACAGATTTTAACATCATAATATTTTCTCTGCACTCTACACTTTAGAATAGAGCTATATTAAATAATTACTAATAAGCTTCTCTATTTCCATATTGATCAAGCCATTTTCACCATAGTCATACTTATGGAAGTGGGGTACAGATTTTTCTGCTAATACTTTCAAGACCTGTCTCTTGATTTCCTTATTCTTTAATCACAACTCATATTTTTCAAGTTTGCAAATGTTGCTGCATTTAAAAATTCATTTCTCCCTATTAATAAAATATATTCCACACTTAAATAACCCATAGGAATTTATTATTTTGATTGGGAAGAAACAAAAAAATGAAACACTATGACCTAGAATTCATAATTGTAATAACAAGGGTTAAAGTACTAAATTTACTTTGAGACACCTGGACATTCAATATTTTTCTAATGAAGATCCACTTGTCAAAACTCTCAAACAAAATGTTAACTCATTTTAACAGAGCAGATTTTCCTACTCATTCTTTCTAGGGCCCCCATCACCTCCTTGTTCCTCAGGCTATAGATCATAGGGTTGAGCATTGGGGTGAGGATGGTATAAAAGACAGCCAATATCTTGGCCTGTGTTGGAGATCGGAAGGACTTTGGGCGAAGATAGGTGTAGACAAAAGGTGCGTAGTAGAAAGTCACCACGGTGAGGTGAGTGCTGCAGGTGGAATAGGCCTTCTTCCTGCCCTCATGTGAGCACATGCGGTAGACAGCAAGGAAAACTTTCCCATAGGAAGACACAATGACAATGAAAGGGAGCAGGAGAAAGATGATGGTGCTGAAGAACACAGTGTACTCATAGGTGCTGGTGTCCACACAGGCCAGAGGCAACATGGATGGGACTTCACAGAAGAAGTGATTGATGGCCCTGGATCTGCAGTAAGGGATATGAAAGGCATATACTATGTGAGCACAGGCGTTGACAGTGCCCAGTGTCCAAGATCCCAGGATCATCAGCACACACACTCTTCTGTTCATGTGAATGGGGTAGTGCAGAGGAAAGCAAATAGCCACATAACGGTCATAGGCCATGGACATCAAAATCAGTCCTTCCGAACCTCCTAAAGTCACAAAGAAGAAAGCCTGGAACACACATCCAATGAAGGAGATGGACTTGTTTCCAGATAGAAAGTCAGAAGTCATTTTAGGGACAGTGGTGCAGACGTACACGAGGTCCATGAGGGAGAGCTGACTGAGCAGGACGTACATGGGAGTGTGGAGGTGGGCATCCAGGAGAATGAGAAGGACCATGGCCAGGTTGCCAGCCAGGGCCATCAGGAAGATGGGGATGATGAGAATGAAGAGGACAAGTCCAGCCGTTGTTGGGGGGAGGAGGCCCAGGAGGATGAAGTCAGTGGAGGTCTGAGTGTAATTCTGCATTTTGTATTAGTATGGATTACCCTAAAGAAAGACACAACAGTGAATAAGTACAGATCATTACCAACTTTGAACAATTCTTGATATCATAAGGCTGTTCTTTGTTCATCAATTGTACAGTTTTCAAATGAGGGTCCAATTCTGAAAAATTAAATGAAATTTTCAGTATCTACTTTATTTTAAACAACAATTATGATATAAAAGCTGTGTAAGAAACCTGAAAATTCACAGAACATTTATATTTTAACTTCATGCTATGAATGCTTCTCTGCAATATACTGACTAAAATTATGTCAAATTCTGATTTAGTTCAAAATATGTACTTGAAAAATCTAAAATACAATGCTTTTAATGCTTTCTGTATTATTCACAATGTTTAATACATTCATGTGTGAGTTTTTAAATAGGATTTTTTTCTGACCTATTTCTAGTATTTCATGGGGTAAGCACCCATTTTGAGAAAATGAATATTACTTTTGATAGTCTTTGCCCCAAATCTCCCCAGCCCAACTTTCTTTAGGTCAGGTGTCTTTGTAAATTTCTTTTGTTCAAAAATCTTTATGTGTTATTGCTGCCATGCACCTTTTGTATAAAGTCCTGGTCCTTGGAAGTTTTATTTCCAGTGCTGACCATCATTCTTCCTTGTCCAGCTCCTTCCTCCACAAGCAGGTGGACAGCAGGCTGAAAGATGCTCACGATAAGTCATCAACTGGGAAATTCAAATCAAAATTTCAATGACACAGCGCCACATACTCACAAGGTAAATCTTTATTAAAGAAACAAATGAAAGAGAAAGGACATCTTGATAGAAAAAGAAAGGCTGTAAAACTTTGTTAATTTTTGTCTGTTCATAAATATTATGGTCACAGTGAAAATTACTATAGTTATCACTCCAAGTAGAACAGAATACTACTATGATATAATAATTCCACATTTGGATAAGTATTACATCTATTTTCATAGCCATTTTCATGTGAGCAAATTCATCATATTCACAGGAAGAAAAAAGGGCTCATCTTTAGATGAAGCATAATAAAATGTGGTATGCAAACACAATGGAATACTTAGTATTTCACAGGGAACAATGTTAGCATATAATTAATGATGCATAAAAATAGACAACTTTGAGCCACATGAAATACGCCAATCACAAAAGAACAAATACTGTGTAAATTCACTAAACTCCATAGTCAAAATCAGAGAGAAAGATTGGATTGTTCAGGGGCTGTCCGAACAGAAGGAGAGGTGTTATTTAAGGCTTTTCCACATTTTCTGAAGTAAAGTGAAAAATGTCCAGAGCTGTGTATGGTGGACTTTTAATGCACAACAATATGAATGTGCTTATTGCTATATAGCTATGAGGATAGAAGTGACTAAAACAGTAAATTTTCCTAAGTATCTGAACCCTGATAGAATTAACATCCTGAAATATACTGCATTGTTCTGGATATGGATTCACAACATATTTCAAGGTAAATAAAGTACTATCCTGAACCATGATGGAAAAACGTATGTGTCATTGTTTTTCAACCTTTGGAAGTCTAAAAGACTTACTAGGACATATTGGGACAAGATTGTCAGTATTTTTCCATTGTGTGTCCTATTATTTCCTGTGAAAACTGAACATTCCACTGTGTTTGCTTACCTCGTGTTGTTTATGGATTGCAGGTGAAGTCTTGTTTCCACCCCATGGATCTGGAGAATCGCATGAAAACTGCTATGGAAATGTCTCTACTACACATATAAACATGGAGAGCATTACATAAAACCCTCCAAAAAAGTTATTAGAACATGTTTATATAAATTTCATCAGAATCATTAGAAGAGAAGACTGATGCAATCGTGCTTAATTTACATAAGAAATTCTATTTGCAACACTAGAAAGCATATTAGAAATTACTAATGCACTGACAGTAGTACAGTTTCTATCTCGTGTTTCATGAACAGTTTTGTCAAAGGCACACTGTCCATGAGAAGATGGTTACAATTTCTTATAGAATTCCAAGAGGAGGATGGCACAGAAAAGTAACTTCTACACCATATCTGATATTCAATACGATATCCTAGGAACCCAGATCAGCATCTCTGTGATGTTGGCCGAGGGCACAGCATCACAATGCAGCCCCACATGGTGCTCTGCACACAGAATTCAAACACTGGTCCTCACACAGGAGCAGCTCAGGCATCAAGTGTTTGCTTCAATAGAGCAAATGAACATTTCTGTACAAATATATGTGTATGTGTGTGCATGGGTGTGCAAATATGGGATCAATATATATGAATCGCCTTTTACAAATTCCCACTCACTTTGATTCCTTATCGACCCTTCCTGGTGAGGAAAGTGGACCTCAGCAGAGCCCACATTCACACCAGAGATAGAGTGCACAGGAGGACACTGAGGACCTGGTTAGGCCACATAGAAGCAGCAGGCTGTGGCTCAGGACTCGGTCCTGCCTGAGAGGACAGAGGGAGACATGGACTTTGCAGCCTGTCCTGACACGCTGTGCCAGGTGTGTGACAGGGTTTATCCAGCGTGCCACTGGGTCTAACCCTGAAAGAATTCCCTCCAAGGAGACACTTACCGTGATCTTCTATAGCAGAGGAACCTGAGATGCAGAGATTGTAAGTCAGCGGTCCTAGCACACCGCCAATGCAGGTGTGCACACACATGCACAAATGTAGAGGAAGTGCATACATTAGTACAATTTTTCACAGATATGTACTACTCCTGAAGTATATGTGTTAAAACACTCAAGCATGGGAGCTGGGGATTTAGCTCAGTGGCATAAGCACCTGCCTTGCAAGCAGGCCGTCATGAGTTTGATTCCCGGTGCCAGTGGGGGGGGGGGACACTCAAGACCCAAGCATGTACATTTATACAAATAAAAACAAGTATATTAAAACAGTTGTAAAATACTATCTCCCATTTTGAAATACCAATTGTTATATAACTTTAGTTGTATATTTTATTATATGCTGTCATTATTAACTTTAAATTCATTACAATTTGAAGAAAAAAAGGATGAATTGAAGTGTACCTCAGCCTCACTATACAGGAAGGAAAACTAATTCTGGATGCTGTTAACCATTTCCCAATTAACAATTTCACTCTCAATTCACATTAGGCCTCAAGAATTGCATTCCTCCTCTCCAGAATTATGTGGTGCATTTTGCTTAGGAACGTAAAGCACCTTCATGATTTAATAAATGCCTTCCATTTATTTATGAAGCACACTCACTTTCCTTTTTCAGGAAAAAAATCTGTCAATTACCATTCATCTCTCTTGTGTATTCATGTTAATCAGATAAAATTGTTTCTAATGTTCTCTTGTAGAAAATCTTCTAAAGTTACAAATTTCATTCTTTTAAGCCTTTGCTCAAGAGTTTTAGTTTCATATAAAAACTGAACATTAAAAAAGCTTTTGGACTATATGCCTCATCTTCTTTCCCTGGATGGGGTGGCTGACCTTGATCTCATGAGCATCCCATGGACAGAGATATATTTTCTGGAAATAATCTAATATTTCTAGACAGCCCACACATTCATGTCTAATTCTTGTGCTCCTCAGCAGTGACACCTGTATGAACACTCTAAGACTCACGAATCCAGGCTGCATTCACCTGGAGGCATCTGCCATCCATGTATGAACTTCCTTGGGAACGTCCACTGGGACCAGGGCCACCGAGGCCAAGTCCACATGACACAGGCTGGCCTTGGGCCAAAGCTGATGAAAGAGCCCTGCCAGTTGGTTTTTTTTTTTTTTTTTTTTTTTGTTTTGTTTTGTTTTTTTTGTTTTTTTGTTTTTTTTAGTATTCCTAGTTGAGTTACAGGTCAGTTCAATAGGGAATTATTCTGTTCAGGATCTCTGAATATCATTATATCTCTACAGCTTAAGGGACCACATGTTTATTACTCATGCAATGCACACCACAATGCCATTCCATACATTTGCCATTTTGCTTTTACTTGACAGAAAATGTATCACATTACAATGCAATATGATAGATTTAACATAAGCACATTGAAAGAAATTCCTAAAATGTCTGGCATTTGAGAATTTACCTTTAATTTGCTTTATGCACTATTCCTGATCAAATTGGTCTCATGTTGATAATAATTGTATCACAGTTACTTGCGCTAAGTCTTTAAATTAATAATAAAGGGTTGACATTTCCCTCTTTCATTGGGGCTATTTGGGAAATACTGACATTATAATTCATTGCAAATAAAATATTAAAACACTCCAATGTCTTTTTTTTGTGATATTTAGTCACTAAACTAATGGGAATTTTCCCGGGAAGAAATTCTACTGGCCTAGTATAGGTTTATTTTTTCTAATTTCAATATTCTCATAAAATATACCTTAAAAAACTATCAGGTTAATTGCTTGTGGAATTGCTAACTCTTCCAATTTTCAGTTTCCCATTTTGTGCAATCACCTATCCCAAACAGCTCTAGAATTTCTCATCACTCACACTGGGCAATCCACACTACAACTGGCCAACCTACAAGTTCTTTCCCTGACCAAGGGGGTGGGGGGGATGAGACAGCAGGAGATGCAGAACAGGTTAAAATGTGGGGCCGGGGGATCTGATCTCGCTTCCGCAAAGAGCCCTTAGTGACTGGTGGACCTTGGCCTTACTCACTGAGACCCAGGCACAAGCAATGAGAGTGACAGAGGATCCATCTGCCTGCCACCATCGTGGTTCCCATCCTAGTAAACTGCAGGATGCCAGTTGATTAATTCCCTGTGCCCGTGTGGGCACACACCATGCTGCCTGGCTCTCTCATCATCACAGCTGAGGGCCTCAGTACTCCCAGCCAGTCTCTCTCGTTATCCCATACCAGAAAGCACTTGTTCTCCCCTTCCTGTGATTCTATGATCTCTGTAATTCCCGGATTATGAGTTACTTCTCCTAAGCTTCTTGTCAATATTGAATGGTGCAATATGTGTTTGATTCTGACTTATTGCATTTAAAATGATGTCTGGGGGGTTAGACCTCAAAGCATGTATGGCATTTTTATTCCTTTTTTAGGTGAAATAATAGTCTACTAGATGGACATAGCTTATCTATTTTATGTTATTTCCACGTGTTGGGGTGGTTATAACTTCCAATTATCATGCACAGTGTTGTTATAAACACTGGAGGAGAAACATCCATTTCAGTGACCTGCAGTTGCCTATAAATATGATACTTCCATGCAGAACAGGTTGAGGAGCTGCCAAACCCCTTTCATGGTGGGTCACAAATTTAGAAATTTTCATCAGTAATTCACCAAGCTTCTTCTAATGTGCCAGGTTTATTGTCACCCTCTCCAACACCTGATGTTTCCTCTTGTTTTGTTCTTTGTTGCTTTCTGTCTTCATGGTAGGTTTCCTGCTGGGTATAGAGATTTATCTTAATGAAGCTCTGAGTTTCACTTCCCGATTACTAGTAAGTGGACCATGTACTCATATCCTCGATGGTCATCTGTGCATCTTCTTCAGAAACATTTGTAATCAAACGAAGTGTCCTTGTTTGGATGATGCTGGGCAGTGAACCTAGAGCCTCTCGATGGTATGCAGTGCTGAAAAACACTGAGATTCATCCAGACTTTTCCTCCTTTTACAAAAATTGTTTACTTGGTTTTCAAATCACTGTCGCTGTTCAGCAGAAAGAGTTGCTAAATAATGTTGATATTTATGCAACAATATTTATGATATTAATTTTTCCAAATACATGTCCAACTACATTGATTGTCTTTTCCCTCTATTAAAAGTGTTCATAAATGTATTCTTTAAAAATTTTTGACAAAGTAAAATATATCTATTTTTACCTCTAATTTTGATGTCTTATCTATGAGGTCTTGGTTAAAAACTATAATGAAGGTTATATATGAAGACTATATTACTCTCATGAGATTCATGTGTTTAATTCTGATAATCAAAACTTTAAGCCACTTCATATAACTTAATACTTATGATTATCATAGTTCAAATCTAATTGTTTCCAGGTAATGCCAAGTTTCTCCAGTATATTAATTGAAAACACTGTGCTTTCCCTACTACATGGTGTTAGTGCCCTTGTGGAAAATAACATGACCACGCGAAGGACTTTTCTGGGCTTCACCCTCTGTTCGGTTGGACTCTGAATCTTCCTGTCACTACCACACTCTTTATTATCATTGCTTTGCTGGTGATTTTGAAATACATCCCTGTAAATTATCCCATTTTAATGCCTAGAAATATAGACTCCTGTTTTACTGTCCCTTTTGAACAGAGGGCAGAACACAGCCCAGCACAATCAGAACACAGGGCTTGGTTCCAGGCTGAAGCACAGGACTCTTCAGAAAGAATGACAAGTTGAGGTCTGTCATGGGTGCACGGTGCAGGGGCTCAGAGGATTTCTACTGGTAAAGACACTTAGCAACTACCTGCTTGCTGTCCCTTCCAGGCCCATCAGTGCTGCTGGGGCCCACACAGGAAATCACACAGAGTTGTGTCAGTGACCCTGAGGAGCTGGGCTCCAGGTGTCAGGGGAGCCTCAGCCTCAGAGGACCCAGCCCAAGTCCAGGGGGGCAACCACAGACAAGAGCCTCCTCAGGACCTCACTGTGCTCTGAGCAGTTCGCTGGAAGCAGTCATAGCATTCCTGCGGAGCACATCCGGAGCAATTGGCAGCCTTTAGGGACCCGTGTGGGGTGGGTACCAGGGCCATGATTCTACTTTTTCTGTGCATACTAAAGGAAAAGAAAAGAATGCAGTACCTAAATTTTAAAAATGTGATGCGTGCACATGTATGGGTTTGTCTGTGTTTTCAACTATTGAATTTTTGTCTTCAATTTAAGAACATTGATCAATAAATCACACATCCTAAAATGAACATCATCTATGCTGAAAATGGCACTTCTCATGTGGTCCCCCTTTTACACACAATGCCCTAAAGTAAACATAGGACATTAGGACACCTGAATTAGCAGAAAGAATAGAGAACACTTGACATTCTTCCATGCTAGGACCTCAACAGCCTCTTCCTTGTTTTGAGCTCAGCTACAGCCAGGCACCATCAAGGAGTCTTTGATTTCAGACATTCACATGAGATGGAAATCAGGTGTGCACCCATCTACCCAAAATGCATGAAAACCATAGGATCAAGGTCACCAAGTGTCCTTCTGGAGCTGCGTGTGTCCCCCAGCAGGGCACCAAGATTGTCTTTGCAGGACTTGTTCTTGGGTGCATGGTAGGTATTGTGCCATCACTTATTCCTTTGCTCCTGTTGCACTGCTGGGGATGAAATTTGCCACCTTGCCTAAGCTAGAAAGCAGTCCATCCCTGAGGTCCATGCTTGCCCTTGCCTTACTATTTTTAATATTTTTAATGTTGAGACAAGGTCTTCTTCCTTTGTCCTACCTGGCTTAGAGCTTATGAGTCTCCTCCATCAGCCACCTGTGTCTCTGTGAGGACACTTGTGTGCCACCTAGATGGGCCATGTCAGTTTCTGCCAGTGTTATACTTTGTGCTTATAGTGGATGAGTTTATTTATGCTATTTCAGTAAAGAAGCCTGGTAATTGTGTTCCTTATTCCATTTTGTTTCAGTTGACCACTTGCTAGGAGAGGGGTGCTCTGTATAGTATTTTGCCAATAAACTTATTTAGTAAATCCTTCTATTTTCCTCCCACTGGGTTGATTTCTGACATGTGGTGGAAATGCTTCAACAGCAGGCAATGGAAATGTTTCTTCTAGGAAGAAATCAGCTCATTGATTACACATTTCATCTTGACTGTAAAGTCCACAGCAGTTACATTTCCATGTGTGTCAAAACTTTTCTCTAGTCACACTAAAAGCAGTTATGTTGGTCTTCTTATAAAACATATAATATAGTTAGCACATAAGTGACCAAATTCCCATATTATTCTTTAACTTACAATATCTTTTCCAAAATTATAAAAGCATGAGTTAATGGTTAAACAACAAAACATACCTACCCTCTTCCGGTCATGGGCTGGCCAGCTGTAGGGGAGCAGCATGTCCTACTCAGAGCCCTGGTCAGAGCAAGCTGGAGAGCAGATAAAGTCCACAAGGCCCATCCGATTTCACTGGGCTTTTCAGAAACAGATTCACAAAATGTTTTCTAACATGTTGGTCTGGTCTAGAGAAGTGGTTTTCTCTGATTCTACTTCAACAATCTCCATCACGACCATAGTTGGAGACTCTCCTCCCACTCTCCTGCCCTGCTTCTCCCCAGGGGATCTCAGCAGCACACATCAGGATTCACCCCAGCACTGTCATCCTTCCTCTCAGTGCACAGCTTGGCTGGAGGCGGTGGTGAGACTTTCTAAAGACAGTGGACTAGTGCAGAACTAGTTCTGAAAGGTACATTCATATCTTATAAAGTGACTCTCATTCCATTTCTCATTTTTCATCTTCCCATATTTAATAGTTTACTTGTTATTGAATTATTTATCAATTATTTTCAGCTGATTAGCTTGGGTTCTCTCACATGAAAAATACAAATTTGAATTTTCTCTGTATTTGTACAGTACTTTCACTTTTTTTTTTAAATCTTTTGAGATGGAGTCTCACAGTGTAGTTCAAGGCAGGGCTTTAGTTCACTAAGTACCCTGGCTGGCCGCAGACAGGAAGAGATCCTCTAGCCTCAGCCTCCTAAGTCCTGGGATTTCAAGTGTGCACCACCATTCCAGGCTAGGATTTCTGTTTTTCAAGTGAAGTGAAAATTTCTATCTCTAATAATTTTCCTGAAACTTACCATTTTTATGCATGTATATTTCTCACTTTACTACATATAAACAGTGGTACATAACAGTCAGTGATGTAGAAGGGATTTCAGCTTATGGATTTAAATAGCACATTGTAAAATTTGAAAAAAGCAATTACTCATTTTCACAATTTAACCAGAAATATAGAAATGTGTTTCTCAAATATTGCACATATGATTCATGTTTTAAGATAGTTCTCTTAATTTTAGTAAAAAGAACTTCATTGTTTTATATTCTTTCATGTCTATAAATAGGTGAGTTTATTTCACATCATATCATGATATATTTTAAAAACATGCATTTAAAATCCCAATCATTTTATTATCAATCAATGTTTTACAATGTATTTTCCCAAAACTGTAGAGACATGACATGTATATTCTTTCCAAAGGAATCTCTAACTCCACCCTAGACATTCAGTATGAATGTAAAGAGAACACAGAACTCAAGCATCTTTCCTACCTTTTATGATGAAAATTACTTCTGAGCATGTTTTCATGGCCTTCAGGACATCTTTGTTCCTGAAGCTGTAGATGGCAGGGTTAAGGGTAGGTGTGGGGATGGTGTAGAAGACAGCAAGGAATTTATCCTCGCCAGGAGTGTGGTAGGATTTAGTTCCTAAGTATGTGAAAATAAATGGCCCATAGTATATTACAACCACCACCATGTGGAAGGAACAGGTGGAGAAGAACTTCTTCCGGGCCTCTGATGATTTGGTTTGGAAGACAATGAGAAGAATTTGTACATAAGAGGCAGAAATCATGATATAGGGGATCAATAGGAAAATAGTACTGCTTACACAAGCCCCTTGTTCATAACGAAATGTGTTCACACAGGACAACTTCAACATGGCAGGGACTTCACAGAAGTGATCAATGGTCCTGCAGTGACAGAAAGGGAAGTGGAGGGCATGAGCTGTGTGCACAATGGAGTTGAGGGTCACCACCAGCAAGAACTCCGCAGCCATCATCACACTGACCTTGTCACTCATGAGCTTGGCATAGAGCAGGGGGTGGCAGATGGCCACGTAGCAGTTATAGGGCATAACAGCCAGGAACAGGCACTTGCCACCTAACAGGGTGAGTGACAGGAAGATCTGGAATCCACAACCTGCAAAGGAGATGGTTCTGCTGCCAGACAGGAAGTTGGTGATAATTTTGGGGACGATTCTGGAAATGTGAAAGATGTCCATGAAGGAGAGATGTTTGAGCAAGAAGTACATGGGGGAGCAGAGTTGAGAGTCCCCGTGGATGAGGAGGATCAAGAGGGTGTTTTCTGTCACAATCAGGATAAAAATGAGTAATACAGAGGAGAAGAAGACCAGGCTGTTTTTGGAGCAAATTAACAGTCCCAAAAGAATGAAGTCACTGCTGGACATCTGATTCATACAGCTCATTTTGCATTTCTCTGTTTTACCTAAAATGAATATGTAAGTTGAAACACAAATAAAGACAAAAAACTAAATATATACAAACCTTTGATTCATAGTAAACTATGAAACGAAATGAAAATCACCCTCAAATGTCTCTGCTAATTTTGTGAGTTCCCCGGCATTATAGGATGGGTGTTCATTCATTTCAGTCACTGGGTGAGATTTGGCACTCTGAGTATGCCCTTGACTCTACTTGAGTCTATGGATCATAATTAATCTGTAACTTTACTCAAGTGCCATCAGTACTTAGATGTGACCTGTGGCAGGCCCAGCCTTCCCTCCTTTTAAAATCTGGAACCCCATATTTCATGGTCCTCCGTAATCTGCCCTGTTTCACATTCTGCCTGGCCCTTCTCACCATTTGTCGAGTTGTTACAACAGTGTACACTCACATTCTGCCCTGCCTGGCATGCAAATAACCTGGTATTTATCAAAATTTCAGTTTTAGCTTCCTATCCAGATCTTCAGTTATGAGTCAAACTTCAGCTGTTCTTCCAGATGGACTAAGGTAGAGATTTAACCCTGAAATATTTCCACAAAGAACCTTGTACCATCCTTTCCTGTACAGCGTTAATTCAGAATCCCAGGTCAGTGTCTCTCTAAGAACACATACAGGAGAGACTATGAAGGCTATGCAGAATGGCCAGAGACTTCAATTCCCCTGAGCTACAACCAACGCTCAGGATCAAACTGAGCATGCAACTCTAGGATCCACAGTAATAAACGTGAGTGGGGTTCACTTTTGTTGTCATTTTCTCCACGAGTATTTTGTCTCAATTTTTGTTATCTTTGCACTATTCACTGGTGGAAGCCAAATGCCTAGATCATTACCTGGCTCATAATGGTGGCTTAAACTTCCTTGAAAAATGAAAAAAATTAAGTTTATCATACTAGGGACAATTGCCTCTTGAGCGTGTAGTTGGGAGAATGCTACTCTTCCCTACCAGCACTACATCCACTATAAAAAGTAAAAAAGCAGTAAATAGTATAAATTAGAGAGTTACCTTGTCCTCCATAAATTTTCAAAACTCTTCTTATAAACATTGAATATGGGATTTCTAAGTTTGTAAAATAATAAGTAATTATGTGTTTAGTATAGTGGGTTTACAATCTCAAATATCCTTTTTTGTCTGTAAGAATTTATCTATCTTTACTCAAAATAGACAATGTATCCATAATAACATAAGGCAAAATTTTCTATTATCTTTTAAAATTAAACTAAAATGCAATAATTCTTTATACTTGGATAGTATCTCTATATCTGTATCTAATTATTTTATGCCTCTGGGTCTGTGTCCTCTGCCTTGAGACAAATATTTACTTAGATGCATGTAGAAATAAACATACAAATGTTGAGTTTGTGGTCCACTAACTACTTCTGTAGTCATGTCACTGTTTTTAAATTTCTTTGATTGCAATCATATTGGCCTTCTGGTTTTTCTGCTCCAACAAATTATTTGCTTTATTTAGTCATTTCAGGTGCATTTAATACCGGATTCTTGATTTTGTCAAGATCACTGACTCATTAGACTTTTTATTAAATTCTTACTACAAAAATTCATTTATTTTTTATTGGCTCACTTATACCAGCATTTCACGTATTCATCAATTACACAGTTTCCTTTCATTTTATTGATTTTTAAATTTTTATAGACTTCGTATTGTCCACATACATTTATTTCTTCTCTGTTGAAAAAGTCCACCATTGGTGTTCTAATTCCCTGTGAGTTTTCTACTACCCATGCACACTTCCATGAGGCATCTAAGCTTTCTACACTCCTGCTTTATAGCTTTGCATCATCAGCCATTAAGGATGTGGGATAAACTTCTGCAATGACACACTTATTACATTGTGCATCCTATGCCAGCCAGCCATTTGTGAGTTTTGGAAAAATGGGGTCAAGAGATGACTGGGTAAGGGAAAGGGAAGCAGATAAATAAAGAAAAAAAATGTACTATGTACAGGAACCAAGTCCAAAAAAGGAAGGTAAAGATTATGGACTGCAACCATATCTAAAAATGTGGAATTAAGAAATGGATGGAGAGAGAAGGAAGGAAAGTGTTATGCAAAAGGGAATTAGCAACTCCTGAAAAGGAGCTCTCGAGATTACATGTTGCAAAACTGTACTCAAAAAATATTTCCCAGAGTACAAAAAAAATCTACAGTTATGTCCAAAGACAAATATTCTAGCAGTGAGTTTAATTCTTTAAAGTGAACAACATATGGCACGTAATGTATGCACCACTCTTTCCTAAGGTAAATCTTTTTTTTTTTTTTTTTTTTTTTTTTTTTAAACCGGGGCTCCAACTCAGGATTCTGTGGTTGCAAGGCAGGCACTTATGCCTCAGAGCTAAATCCCCAGCCCTGCTAAGGTAAATCTGGTTCGAAAAATACTTTGTAAACTATTGAACATAAAATGCCTATTTATTTTAAGGAAACAGAGCTTTTGTTATGGAGAAAAAAATGACAAAATATAAAAACAATATACTATGTCTAAATGTAGTTTTTGAGCCATTTGTCTACTATATCACATTCATATAAACTGCTTTAAAAAATGATGACTTCACTGCATGTATATTGTGTCAACTAAATGGTGACTTCTGCCTCCCTCGTTAAACTGTAACCAAGGAACCTGAAAGAATCACCATTAGCATTTTCTGTAAACCAATGAGTCACAGTGCACTGTGCCTAACTCTCAAATGTTTATGCAAATTTAGTGGAAAGTAAATAATAATTTTTCTAGATACATCACATATCATTCAAATGACTCAATATTTGTGCATGTGTGAAAGAGAGAGACACATAGATAGACAGAGATAAACAGAGATAGACAGACAGTCACAGTCACAGATTCTGACTGGGGAGGAAAGTGGGAGGGAGGCTGCATCAGGCTCTCCTCATTACTTAGCAGTCAGTGGCAATAGTTCGCTCAGGCAGCCTCACTGTTGCAGTGCATGGATGAAATGACACAGGACACAGGGTGTCTTTCCACAAGGGAATCAGACTGTCTCTGACTGGCATTATGTAAATGTCGCTTTAACCATCAGCCCTGATTTGATTCAATTCCTAGGTGTAGACACGGCCATGCCCCGAGTCCTATTGTACCCATTAATCATGGTCTGTGCACACCCCAACTCTGTCCAGCATGTGGTAGCTATTTGATTATTTAATTATTCTGCATAATTATTAGATATTGTGCCCTAGAGATATCTCCTTTTATGGATAAATTAAATTTTGTACATTAAATCTTGCTTTAATTAGGTGTTCTAATATGAATAGAACTACACATTCATGAACAAAGTTATTCGCTTCCTCTTACATGATTGTATAGTGTATATAACACTAAAATTTCTTGAAGACAGTTTAAAGTATAACCAAGCAAAGGACAGTAAAGCATAAAATTGACTCTCTTAGAACAATACTTATTTTGAAAACGCTTCAGATGGTCATCACTGGTGATAGTGAAACTGCTAGAATATCTGCAGTATCTGGAAGTTATGTGAGAATGTGCTATTTTGGTTCATTTTTGAAATTTTGATAACTTTTCAACATTGATTAATTATCTGGCACAATCATTACAAGTTGTGCCATAAAATTTCAAGTATTTGCATGGTGAATAATTTATTGAAAATGCTCACTGCTACTGGAAATCAGTAGGTGGCACTGACTTAACTAGCAAAGCGGAAATCAAGCAGCTCAAGGACATAACGTGGTATGCGGAATGAGGGCTGTGTATTGGTAAAGTGGTTTGGTGTAGAAGGTTGGGTAATAGGGTAATTGGAGGCCAGCTTGGGAAGCCTGGGAAGCCTGAGAAGCCACCAGCAGCTGTGCTTAAGGCGAACTTCCTCACAGGGCTGTTCTCATGGTGAGTCAAACGCATGCCCCGACCCAGAACACAGCACACAGTGAGTCCTCAAGGCACTGACCAAAGCACCTGCTGCTGCCAGCTGTATTGATCCTTCTCAGTGGTGGGGTTCCAGTTAATATTTCTAAATCTTATCACGTGTAACTCAGCCTCTGTTACAAAGAATGAAACGGGGAGGGGACAAGAGAAAAGAACAAGTAGACTGAGAAATAGATTGGGGTGAGGACAGAAAAACCCGAGTGCCACAGAGTATAATCAAGAGTCTCCTGGACTCTCCACTACCCCCACTGCTCTGACCTGATCATCAAGGGCTCCCAGAAAAAAACCAGCTACAGAGCTGACCCTGGATCCTCACATCCCCACTGTGCCCTCACCAACTGGTCTCCATGCAGGGCAGTCTCTGGCTGCTCACACTGTCCTTCCCATCAGAGCTTCTGACATCCACACCCCAAGTCCCTTCACTGCTGCTGCCCTGAGAGTCATAGGGAGGTGAGAGGAGGCTTGGGGACAGGAGCTGAGACCAGGGCTGGTGGAAGGGGTGAGTGGTTTGTGGCCAGCAGGGAAGGAGGATGATGATGTCTGCTGGCTGAAGTCCCCTGGTCTGTGTCTCCGGGGGACAACTCTGCCACCTCTATGTAGGGCAGCATGAGCAGAGGGACCCAGGTGTCCTGAGAAGGAGCCAGAAGGAGCTGCTTCTGCCTGACAGTCCCTGGGGAGTCCAGGGTGCTCTTAGTATCACAGGGGAAAGATACAGCATGGGGCTCAGCATTGATGAAAAGGATGAGATCAAAGTCAATGAGAATGGGCGTTATAATGAATCTCATTATCTTCTCAGCTGATGCCTAAACTTTCGAACCTGATACTATCCAGCAAAACAGAATAGGGGAACATCAGTCAAAAACAAGATGGTGAGAGTAATACAGGGCTTCAAATCGAGATAATAGAAAGTCAAAGTGGGTTACTATATTATATCCTGCTATTTTTTCCCTTTAATTAAACAGATAAAAATTAAAAAGTAAATAATGGAGTGGAGATTGAGAAAAAAAGAGGGCATAACAGCGAAACAGGGCAGATCAAAACATAACCATTTAAGCAGAA